TAGAAGGCCTCAAAGAGATGGCGGATAACCAGGCCACAAGAACAAACAGCGAAGGAATGCTGAAAATAGCCAAGGAATTCTACCAAGAACTATACCAGACCAAAACCTCCTCTCCTACTCTGACTCCCGTAAGGGAAGCAAGAGCGAAAATGCTCTAATTCCTAGACAGAACGATCTCCCAGGACCAGGCAGATGTACTCAACAGACCAATTACCTCAGTGGAACTGCAAACTGCAATTCAGAGCATGAACAATGACAAGACCCCAGGCATTGACGGACTGACTAAGGAGTTCTGGGAGAAGTTATGGCCTATGATGGGAAGCGATCTGCTGCAGTTCTACCAAGACAGTTGGGAAAAAGGAGGATTGGGTGAGCAGTTGAGTAGCAGTGTAGTGACGCTACTATACAAGAAGGGGGATAGGGAAGATATATGGAATTACAAACCCATCTCCCTGCTCACCCTTCCCTATAAGATCCTCGCAAAAACCTTGGCAAACCGGATCGTAAGTCTCACTGACAAGTGCTTTCATATAGACCAGACTGGCTTTATCCGAGGAAGATACATCCTAGATAATGTGCTAACCTTAAATGAGGCAGCTGCGAGGCCACTGCCTCTAAGAGCCCCATAAGGCCCCACTTTTGCAGCCCGTCGGCCGCCCTAAGTGAAGGCAGGCTCGACGAGGCCCTCAGGGCCCTTTTCTGGCCACCACGCAACTCAGGGAAATTCAGGCAGTTGCGCAGCGCCAGTTGGTTAAGTGAACCCACGCCCTGGGTCGCCAATGTGAATGTATGTGAAGCAGGCCCTGGGATGGATACGCGTACTGGGCCAGACACAGGCCGAAAGCAGTTGGGCACATGCAACCACTTCAGGCCCAAGGCCTGCTCTCCTCGTGTTGGGCCTCAGGCTACCGGGGCCTACTGGAAGCTTCTTGGACTGGACGCAGGCAGGCCACTTGGATATAGGAAAGGGCCTGCCTCCTCATTCAGGATTCGGGTGCTGGCTGCATGCTGCGCAAGCGCTGCTGATGCGCTATTTGCTGGCTGGCGCCTACGCTCTCACGGGCGAGCAGGGAAGGAGCACGCAGCCATAGCCGAGCTGCGCCGCTGTAAGTTGGGTGAGGCGCAAGGTGGTCCTTGGGTGCTAGTGTCATCTGTGAGTTGGGGAACGAGGTTGTGAGTGTAGCTCGAGACATACCTAGTGCTGGAAGCGTACGACATTGGTCGCCATATGCTCGTACTTCGGGAATGTTGGTGACGTCATCTTTCGGCTTCGTAGTATAGGCTAGATAGGATCTGCCACATGTAGTCTGGGCGCCGAGCGCCATATAGGATATCAACTCTGGTTCTTCGTTGATGATGATGGGACTATTTCAGCATTGTCAATTATGAACTCTTGGTTTGTTCTTATTTGGTGAATGTCGTGATGTAATTCTGCTGTTGGTTCGAGGTCAAGACTATATGGACTCATATGTATGATGTTGTTTGATTGCTGAAGTTCGCTATTACTCATCTTCCTTGCAATTTGGTATTGGAGTTGTGGTACGATTGCGCTTATCTGGCGCTTGTCTTCTGCCTTATGCGGTATATACATGCAGTGTGCTGGGCTAGTTTGGCCGTAAGTGGTGTGTAGTGAGGAGGGTGGAGACGAGCGTGTTGGCGACCCAGGAGGTGAGGGGATCGCCAGGAAGGCTACGTGGGGTGAAATGTGGTCTGGACAGTGTGATGAGAACTATCTAATGTGCGATTGATGCTGAGGTGGAACGGCGAGATAATGCTGGTTGTGTCGATGCAGTGATTGGTCATCGCAATCGCCATTGGGTCATCTGGTGAGATTATCTCTGTGGTTGGGGGCAGCTAATTGAGGTACGTTGCTCTTAACCTTATCTTCGCTCTCCGACACTTCTTACCGTGAGGTTGTGTGTTCCTTCTTGAGAGTCCTCTCTTCGTGAGGTGTCGAGTGCACTCAACCTTGAGAGTCGGCAATGTTCACGTGGAGCATCTGGGTGGAGATGGGCGAAGCTTTCTGAAGGGCCCTGGACGAAGCACTGGGTCACGGTCACCATGCCAACCCACAGGGAGTAGAGCATGCATGCCTTGCTGCTTGTACTTTGTTCGGCTTGCTGCGCTGTTAGATGGGTACTACTGGGCAGGCCAACCCTACAGGAGAGACGAGCACCCGACGTCTATAAATAAACACGGGAAGGGGATATCACTGGTTGTGATCGTCGTCCTGCTGCGACGTAAAATAATTCCTGATGTCACTTGGGGGCGGACGTTGAAATGCCTCTGGATCAGCCATTGATGTAAGGCTCGCGGCACGGCGAGGATAAACATACGTGCAAGGCTGGCCAGCTCAGTGGATACTCGGGGCACAGGGGTGGGCCGGACACACACCTTTAGACAAGCAACGCTCTCCAGATTGCTCAGGGACGCTGACGTCAAGTGATACTCAGGGGAACTAAGGGAGGGGTTGATTTCAGGTGATAAGTTTGAGAAAATTCCATGCTGCCCTATCCACACAAATGATTTTGTTTTTATGTTTTGATTAGTTAGGTGTACAGCCAATGACATCTGACAGACAACATTAGTTAGAACTGTTTATTGTTCCTGGTGCTTCTGTTTGCGGACTAGTCATACTAAAAATAGTTTCGTTTGTAGGAATCTAGACTTACCTGTTAGAACCCGAATGTATCTGCTCCGGAATGACCACCAATTAATTATTTATTTATTTTAAGTTGGTATGTGCACTCTGTTGCGGTAGGCATCTTGAGTGACCTAGTGTAGACAGTGCACAGTGTTGTAGCATGTGAGCGACGAGGAGAACACTAGAGAGGACGATCGGATCTTGCGATCGGCGAGGCGCCCAGTAGCCCATTTGGCATTAGGACCAGAGGGTGACAGACATTTGTTCGGCCAGCTTAGGGAGAGGCAGCTGCAGCAGAGGAGAGCTAGAGCAGCCGAGGCCAACAGGGCCTTAGTTAGCGAGGCCGGTGCTACAGCAGCCATGGCTACTTCCGCCATGGTCACTTCTGCGCAGCAGACTTCCCAAGCTTGCAGTTTAGGTGCCGTCGGGTCAACGGTCGTGCAAACCGTGAGTCAGTCCACTGGCATAATGGCAAGCCAGACATTAGTGTTGACTCCAGAGGATGTCACCATCCAGCAGGCAGCCCCGCAGGAGGCACAACTATAGCGGGCATTAGGAGAGATAAAAGCGGAGAAGGATAAAATGATTAGAAGAAGAGCCAGGATGCAGCGGAGAGGGGCAGACATAGAGGAGTTAGAGACGATGGACTTGACGAACATGGATGCTGATGTGAGGGAAGTTAGGAAGGCCCTGCTAAGCGTAATAGAGATGCAGGAGCATCAAACTACCATCCTTCAGGATATCCAACAGAGCTTAGACGTTTTGGTAGCCCGTGCTCAGGCAGCACCATCACCAGCCGGGCCTGGTGCCTGGCCCGTGCCATATTGTTACATACTTCAATTAGTATGAGCAGAACCAGAGATCAACCAATATAGGATGAGCATATATGCAGCGGAAGTCTGATAAATGGATTGACTCACATAGACTGACTCACACAGATATCACTCTACACACAAACAGTCGTGAGATGGTGGGGTCTGAGCCAATCACAAACGATGCTCAGGCTTCGTACACACATACACAGATGAAAGGTGGGAGGAGAGGCGAAGGAGGTGGGAGATGTAGGTAGCACCAGATGTCACCGAGATAGAATCCAGTAGGTCACCGATATGGTAATCCAAAATGTCATTGAACAAGATCAAATGTCGTGGACAATAAGTCACCAATATCGGAGGTACAGAGTCCCAATGTAACCGGTGTCCAATCTGTGATGCTGCCGAGTATCAACCCCAACAATCTCCAAGTCTCGAATCCAGTAAGTACCACAGCCTCTTACCACCGAAGTCGAACACTGATCTATGTCCAACTAGTATCAAGTCTCCAATCTGAAGAAGAAGAAGAAGAAGTTTGAAGAAGAAGAAGAAGGAGAAGATGAGAAGGAGAAGAAGAAGAAGAGAACAGCGGAGGAGAGAGGTGAGGAGGAACCAGGGACCGTGGAGGGAGGAGACAACCTCACCCCCGAGTACCTGGTCTGCTGCAACTGCCTGGAGCCGAAGTCGGCTATGGCTGTCCGTTGGCTGGCTCCTCGCTCGCTGCTGCTGCTGAGCTAGCTGCGCTGCTGCTGCTCCTCTATGCTGCGCTAAGAATAGCGTTGCGCTCCTGCTGTAGAACCGAAACGAAGTGGCGCTCTCGCAGCGTCCAGTTGCTCGATGCCTCATACTGAGGCTGGAGCGGTCTTTTGTACAGGTGGAAAAGAGGCCAGCCTCAATGCTGCGAGGCCTGGCCGTCACTTGAACCGTCAAGATTGACGGTTCAGATCAGGCCGGGGGGCGGCAAGCTCAAAAGCGCCGCCAGGCCCAAACGGTAATGTCGTTTGGGCCTGCCCGTCGGGTCTGGTCCAAAACTGTGGCCTTTACGGCCTACTGTACCCCAAGTCTGGGCCTTTAGGCCCTACTGTGTCCCCTAGGCCCTAAGTCGGGTCCGGTAGGACCCGTGTGGCGTCGAAGATATAACACATATCCTCCTTTTTCTGTCCGACCGGTGACAGGGTTATCCCCATATGTAGCCCCGTCATCGGTTGCTATCATTTCCCTAGGCATGCCGCTGTCAGGAGGGGTAACAGCAGGGATTAGTTTGCAGGTTCCTGTACAGACAGTGTACACCCAAACTCCGTCGCAGGTTGCAGTCACCACGCAGCCTGCTGTCTCGCAGCCTGTGCAGCCCCAGCAACTAGCACAACAACCTGTGTCACCGGGTCCATAGCCCGGAGTGGTGCAGGGACCGGGACAAACTCGGTGGGTTCCAAAGACGGCCATCGCCGCTCCCAAACCTTTTACAGGGGATAAGAGGGGCGAAGACCTCGACACGTGGCCTTTACGGCCTATTGTACCCCAAGTTCGGGCCTTTAGGCCCTACTGTGTCCCCTAGGCCCTAAGTCGGGTCCGGTAGGACCCGTGTGGCGTCGAAGATGTAACACACCCCCCCTCTCAAAAGACCGAGCTACCTGCGAGGGCGGAGTTGTCTGTCCGATACCGCGTTGGGTCGGGCGGGACGAGCTGCTTCCTTGGCAAGGCGTCGCTTCTCATAGTCGGCGAAGATAAGGGGTGCAGAAGTCTGCAAGTCTGCACTAGAGATCCACCGAGTGTCATCAGGCGCACATTGCTTGAATGTGACTTTGAACTGCATTGGCTTGTTGCCATACTTGCAGTGCGTGATGACTCGGTCCACTTCCTGATGTTCGTCCATAGGTGGCGGATCCTGTGATCGTCGGCCGGGAAACTCGTCAGCGGAAGGTGGCGTGTAGATGGCCAGCTTTGACGCGTGGAAGACCCAGTGCACTGGAAGGTGCGGAGGAATGTTGACCACAAAGGAAGGACCTGCGGGGTTGTCTCCAACGACATAAGTAACTTCCCATGGTCTGAACCATTTCGGAAGGAGTTTGCGCGAAACGTCCTTCTTGAGCGCAAATTCCTCAGAGAGGACCCAAACAAGGTCTCCCTCGTGGAAAGGACATGGAAGTCGACGTCGGTTAGCTTGCTGCTGCATGCGGATTTGAGCCTTTTGCATATTCGCGCGGGCTTTGATCAGCAAGTCCCGGTACTTCCGAACGGAAGAGGGGGAGCAAGGGACGTCTATGTCGGCGGCCTGTGGCAGAAGGAGATCAGCGAAGATCCGTGCTTTCTCTCCACCATGATGTAGCTCGAATGGTGTGACGCCGATCGCCGGGTGCACCGAAGTGTTGTAGGCGTATTCAATGCCAGGAAGCCGGTCAACCCAATCTTTTTGGTCGGGACGGATGAGCGTACGCAACATCATCTGAGCGGTCTGGTGTGCTCGCTCTTTCTGGCCATCCGTCTGCGGGTGCCGAGCCGAGCTCGGCTTCATTGTCGTGCCGGACTCAGCCATAAGGGAAGTCCAAAAGGCCGACATGAAGCGAGTATCTCGGTCGCTCACTATGTCTTCCGGAACACCCTGGTTGGTAATCCAACCGGTGTGCAAGAGTCGTGCGAGCTCAGGTGCTGCAGCATGATACTTGCAAGGAAGRAAACGAGCATACTTGCTCAAACGGTCAACGACCGTGAGAATACCGTCATGGCCGAGGCGATCACGGGGGAACGGGCCTGTTACGTCCATAGCAATGGAGAGGCGCGTTGTCGGAGGGCGCGGTGTCCCGGCCCTCCTTTGTGTACCAGGTCCTCGCTCAGTGCCAGTCCCTTGTTCCAACTTGCTGTTCCCTAGGTCCTTCTCGTGCTGTAGGTCTGGTACCTGGACTGTTCTCGGCACGGACCGGTCCCGGTGGCGTAGTCCTCAGCAAAAGGGGTGCGCCACAGGACTTCCATTGGTCCACGCAGGCTCGGCGCCCTGCTGTACAGCAGAGCACTACCGGCCTGTGGCCGTGGTAGCCGTCGGGCTCGCCCTGGGACGCGGAGGTGAAATGACAAGTTCGGTCCTTTCAACTGCGCGCCAAGCATCCTTTTCCCTGGTTATGGGATAGGCACAGGGACAGGCCAACGTCAAAAAGGAAGGTTGATAAAGAGATAAAAGGAAAATAAAATTATGCAGGAGTGAAAAGGAAAGCTGAGCGTCGGAACTGCTTTTGAATCGTGATCTTTGCCTTAATCTGGGGTAATTCAATGGTATCGGGTTGCTGTACCGTTGAGCTTTTCTTGTTTTTCTTTCCTTATTCATTATTATTAAAAAGAAAAATTTTATAGCAATCTTTATTGTTGACTTATCGATTTTCAGACCCGGCTCTCCTTTTAGGTTCTGTCACTTCGTAGGGGAGGCCGTCGATTCCGGATGTGGGCTACGACTGCGGCCTCATGGTCTAGGCCTCACCGACCCTCCGCATATCACCTGTATCGGACCTGCTTGATCGAACTGTGCAGTAGGACCCCAGTAGCCCTGTTAAGGGATAGATACAGCGAGACCTGGAAAAAGGGGGAGAGGGTCGAAAGTTGGGATTTAGACTTGTGCGTGGGTTCGCACCACTATTCAGGCGGGACTGCTTCGCGGAGGAAAAATTCGAATTGGCATCTTTCCTTTTCCTGCGATTATTATTATTGTTATTATTACCTTACTGGTTTTCGGGCATGGCCTTCCTTTACCTTTTTCTGTCACATCGCGGAAAGGCTAACGGTCTGAATTTGGAGTTGTGGCGCGAATTGGTCGGTCCCACTTATTCCGTCTGGGAATGAGCGCCGCCTGAGTGCCGCGCGGTTAGGCTCCAAAAGAGGGGCACCCGCGGCCGCGTCGGTAGGAGGCTTATCACCCCCCTCGTGGAGGGTCATAAGCCCCCTCCTTGCCATCGGACATGGGTACCCGATGAAGGTAGGCCTGCGCTGCATTTTAAAAAGGAAAATGTGACCTTTAGTATCTCGTTATGGGACCGCGGCACCGAACCTGCAGTCATATCGCTAGGGTCTGGGACTTACAAGTGCGAGTTTAGTTCGCAATCAACCGTTGGGTTTTGGGCTCGAGTATTATTTTCTAAAAATTAATTATTAATTTATTGTTTTAAGATTCTTGAAATGCGGTAAGGTCTGAAAAGGACTAATCTAAGTTCCGCGTTTAGAACGCGGAGGAAAGCCCTATAAGAGAGAAGAGTGAGTCGGGATATCATCCGCAGCCAGCCACCCGGTAGCACGCAGTCTGTACCGCAGGCTCCGGTGTAGAGAGGTGTGCTATTGGAAGTTGGTGACTTTGCGCTGCGCTGTTTACCAGGCAGGCGCTGGCTATTGAGAAAGAGCAGCTATGGCGCTGCATGGGTACAGGCCCGGGTACTGGTATCACCAGGCCCGTTGGAAGCCCGTGTCCGGGGAAGGGCCCTGGATTACCGTCATACTCAACTACGACGGTGGAGATGAACTATTATTGAAGATCAACGTGGAGGGAGCAAGAGAGGGGGAGATGCGGACTAACCCGAAGTTGCAGGACGCGATTTCAAAGGCGAGAGACCGAGCGGAGAGACGCTGTAGACGGGACGGAGTGACAGCAAGGTTACGGATAACGGTGGCTTACCACGAAACTGAGACCTCGATGGACACAGCGGACCTGGAGTAGGTCCACCAGGACAGAGACTCAGGAGGGGAAAGTGAGATGAGTGACGCAGATCGAGAGACGGATCTCAGGTCCTGGAACAGACCAGGAGGGATCCAGAGGCATCCCTGAGCCGTGAAACTGGTAGAGGAGGGACCCGAGGCTAGCTCGAGGCAGCTGACGCCGAGGGGCCGCGGGACGGGAGAGAAGTAGAACAAGGGGAAAAGACACGTATGAGAAGGGGCAAGATCATGAGACGAGTGGGCTGGTGTGAGCGGAACAGAACCCAAAACGGGAAAAAGCGGGCATACACGCACGACTGGGGACGTTCGAGAGAGAGGTGCAAAGAGAAGGTCAAAGAGAGTGCATGGTGGTTGACGTCAATACCTACCTGCACGCTTGTATGAAGCGCGTGTTATTGCCTCCGGTAGGTGAGTGCAGGGTGGTGCATGTTTGAGAGAGAGATACGTGGACGACAGGTGGACGTTCCGGGAGAAGAGAGGGAAGTCAACGAGAGGAGCGGTGCGGAAGAGCGTGCGCAATATTGCTAGATACAGTTGATTTCAACTGTTGTCTTCACACTCGCTCAGGGCACCTTGTGGCTGATGAGCCGCGACGCGACTTCTTGCGCATTCGCCAGACTGACCAGTCTCAGTATCTCTTCGTACGTTCCTCCAAGGTGATCTGTGTAGAATCACTTCTTGCTCACTCGCCAGGCAACTACAGTGCAAGCGCGCTAGAGAAAGTGAGTGTGGATGGGCTCAATTCAGCGTGAGGGACGCATTTAGTTCTCGCAAGCCTCACCTAGTACGCGTTTGTCGGTGTCAACGTATAGGATGGGCGTGAGAGTGACGCTTACGCCGGGTGGTAAATGACACACGTGTGCATGCGTGGATGCTTCTCCTGCAGAGAGATTTGAGTGTGTACGAAAAGGGGAGTGGACTAAAATGTGTGACGTGTCTCGATACTGACTGTTGATGTCATCAGTCGCCATGCTTGGTTTGTGTTTGCTTTACTGCTAACGACTATAGTAGTGAGTGCATGAAGGCGGCCTAATAAACAGGGGCAGGTGGAATTGGGATCACAGGCCGATGGAGGGCCTCAGCGGGCAGGCGCTGCACACGCCAAAGTCCTCAAAGTCCTATCAGTGCAGGTTGCACTGAAGTATGACTCACCTTCCCTAGGGACAACTACTTACTACTCAACTAAGAGTCTGGCAGTGCATAGGGATGTTCGACGTGCTCGAAACTGGGAGAACTCTCCCATGTGATCCAAACGTTGATGGAAAGCGGCATTAGCAAGTATAGATGGGCTGAGATTGCTCTTGGACTGTTGTTCCATCCAGTTCGCGCTTGAGTCGAACTATGAATTAACCAGACATTGACGAGGGACAATCGAGCCTCCACATCTCGTGGATGGACTGTCTCCTCCCTCCATTTCTTCCTCTCTATCTTGGTCAGGAGAGGCTGTAGCGACTTGTGACGCTCCAGATTCCTCTCTCACATTTTGTGACGGGTGATAAGCAAGTGGGTGAAGACCGGGAAAGAGGGAGCACCGAAGCGAGATTGGACGAGCGCCGAAGAAGAGAAGATCCGTGAGAGTACACTGAGTTCTCGTTGTTGTTGTTACCGCCCTATCGCGAGATCTCGCGTGCCTCGCTAAGGATGAAACTCTCGATTCTCGACATTGGATCTGCCAATGATGGTCAGGAAAGAGGGGCATTCTCCGCCACGCTTTAGATAGATGAGTGGAAGCAGACGCCTGTCTTGGTATTGTTGCTGGCGTCAGTGATAACTAAGTGTGTTTGGCATGTGAGATCGAGTTACAAGGCAGGAGGGACGGACGAAGGACGCTACTGCGGAAATGACTTGTGCGTGCGTAGATAGTCTGCTATAGTCTGCGAAGGTCTAGCGTGCCTTTTCTGTTGGCGTCCTCTATTTTTCGCCTGTGCTCAGACATTTGCCTGTACTTAGTCAGTCTCTTGTTGATAGTGGGGAAGCTAAAGCGCAAGGGTCTTTCTTGGTTGCGTCCAAATCTGGGTTTTATCTCGATGCGACGGGAGTGTGTGATTAGGGAGTCGTTAGTGCAGTGGTTTCGACTTCAGCCCGCAGTGAGTAGAGAGAAGGTTGCTCTTGACTGACAGAGGGGACTGACTATCGGATACTAAACAGCTTTTGTTGATACATAAAGTTGTTGGAAGGAGGCGTAGCGTAAGGTCCTGTGGTCCATGGCTTGAGAATCTTGATCGGGAGACTTCAACGACAGTTCCTAGTGGCATGTGATTGGAACCAGGTAGATAAGAGCTCACCATTTCTTGATCCGCCTTCTGTTGTTTGTTTACCCTTTGTACTGACTTGGTACAAGAGCTGTCCGATCTTGAATTTTCCTTTCTGCAAACTTTAATAAAATTTGCTTAATTTTTAATTACTCCTTTGTTTTGAGCCCACACATCACCCTGATTGAGGCCGACAAGCTTAATGATAAGTGCAAGACTCTCTGCACTTATCCATTAGGCTTTGGCCTACTAGCCAAAGAAGTCGTAACAGGTCAGCGTCCCGATCTGGGGAAAAAGGCGACTCCACGGTGAGAAAGAAGTACTAAAATGTTGCTTTCTAGCCTGCAAGCGCCTTCTCATGGGTGGGAAAAGGTTTTTTCTTAGGGGAATTGCATACCTTCTCGCCAAGTTTTTACTCGACGCGGATTAATCCTCATGCTTGCTTTTACCAGGTCTGCATGAGAGGAGGGCTTTACTTGGGGAGGATCACTGAGAGTCGCTGAACACGCTCAAAATCATGTAGACGAAGAAAAGGTTTGACGCGTCAGTTACAGCTTAACTACTGGTCCTAGCCATAGCAATAGCTGGAGTGGGTCTCTGTCGTCCAAGAGTGGTGGCGAGGATCTGTAGCAGTCTGAAAGGATGTATGTTCTCTGTTATGCTTGATGTATCGTGCAAAGCTCGGAGCGGAGAGCACCCCCCCCCCCCCCCCCTTTGATGGGTACAGATCAAGCATGGGCGTGGGACATCACAGATGATGCTCTTATAATTGAATTACTTTATCAGTACACATCAAACTAATTGTTTAGAGTTAGACCACTCAGAAAGGGTATTAACCTGAGATCCTCGCTGGACGTTACGACACCCTGAGTGCCTCGAGAACCGGGCCTACGTATCTTATGAGGCTTGGGAGTGCTATGTCTCGATGTATGTCTTGCAGGACGCTGGTGAAGATAGTACTCAACTTGACCCGGCTGAGTACAGACATTCAACCATTAGAATTCAGAGGTCGAAGCAGCCTTAAGTGAAGGTTATGTTTATCCCCGCTCACTGAAGTAGAAAAGAAAAAAAAAAAAGGGAAAGGGGAAACGGGGGCCGTTCAAGAGGCGCTTGTGTGCGATGCTTTGGAACAGAAAAGACCGGATTTGACGGTGATTCGAAGCAAAACCAATACTGTGGAAACGGTTGAGAGTCTGGGGAGGAGGGTTATTCTATGTTGAAAAACCAGCCACAGACAAGCAGACAGTGCCATTGAAACAGTTAGTGATCTCCAAACGGAGAACTTATTTTCATTCGGCCTGTCGTTAGTGGTTCAGGATCATTTATTTTTCAAGCAAAACATCTCGGATCAATCATTTGCTCCGAATAACAACTCTGTGGCACAAACAGTACTCGCCCCTACCCATGAACGTGAACTTGAGGTTGACAGTAGAGGTGATGAACAGTCACATGAATGTGAACCTGATCAGTAATAAAACAGATACCTGATCATCATCCAGGTGACAGTAATCAGAGTTATCATCCAGGTGACAGTAATCAGAGTTATCATTCAGGTGACAGTAATCAGAACTATCAATCAGGTGACAATAATCAGAATCATCAACAGAATCGGAATCAGCATCCAAAGGACAACGTTCAGAATCAGGACCAGCATCCAGAAAACATTGTTCAGAACCAGAATCTGCATTTAAAAAAAAAGTAGTACTCAGAATCAGCACTAAGAAACAACTTTCAAAAGGTGTTTAAGCAGCGTTCAATCAGCAAAACAATCGAATTTTAGTCGGCACTCAAATCGGTATCCCAATCAGTATCCAAAAGGTATTCGGATCAGCATTCAGAAACGAGCATTCAGGGTTCCTTCAATCAAGCGGCTCTTTTCTCTCAGTCAGGAGGTAGCTACCTATCCAAACACATGAGAGAGATCAACCCCATCACAGTGGACCAGTCGGTCCTTGACAATCTCAATCTGATTGCTGCCAGGGAGAGCTTCCTCTACAGGTACGTCAGGATTGATGGGTTCAAGCGAGGACTGAGTTCGCTGAAGGTTCAGTCAGTGACTTATAGATCTTCCTGAAAAAGGGGAATGAGACACACCCTCATTTTGACGCGGTATGGGCAGCAGCAGCCGGGTATGTGCAGTGGAAAGCTGAGAGACTCGAGGGTAATACAAAGCTGGTCTACAGTTTCGGTCCTAAACTCTTCACGGATTATCCTAAACCACCTGTCCCCTACTATCTTACGGATAGCTCTTATTGGGGCGGTCTGGTGGACTTGGCCAAGAGATACAGATCGCCGACAGTGATTGATTATGAGGCGGTGACCGAGCCCTCTGAGTTCCCGCATCTCAGGAGGGGTATTTTCTCTCAGCCCTATCTCCCCACACTATGGGAGGAATTTTGTGCCATGCTTGACTTTCGTATCATGGGACTTGGATGAAAGTGTTTGAAATTGGTGGGCTTCAGGTGGCTGTACATTCAGAAGCCACAACCTCAGAGAGTACGGAGACATGGCAAGAAGCCCAAACGACGGACAACAAAGTGAGAGACAGAGAGAAGTTCAGAGGGTTGAGTGAGGACTCTTGATTGGTGCTGGCCATGCTCTCCTCCATATGTACTCCCTGAGACTATTATGAGTTCTCATTCTTCCCTCATTCAATTGCTCTTGTCGTTGCTCGAGTCAGTCAGTCTTGCTTCTTGCATTGTTCTGCCTGATGATTGTCTCCTTGGATGACTCTGTCACAGTTCTCAAAGTCAGATTGACATAATTGCTGCATGCATAGCACCCCATAATTTTATGGTCATTATTTGCATAATTCTTTGCTGTTCCGAATCAAAATAAAAGATTCCTAAGACCGCGGACCGGCGAAGACCGCAATTGAAGGGTCTCCCTCGAAGCCGGACGCACACAACAGGAAGGGATTTGCATTATTTAATTTATTTTATTTATATGCAATAACAAACAAAATCCTACGTGACGGCCTGTTGGCTTTCCGATCGCCTGAAGTGGCCCGACCGGAAAAAGTGCGACAGCGTGCCCGGGGAATCGACAACGGTTTCAGTTCGCCGAAGGGGACTCGAGATCGATCCTTGTTACGGTGGCAAACTGCACATGACTCAATGTACCTCGTGACGTCATGAAGGACGTCGGGCCAGTGAAAACGCTGGCGGAGGCGTGCTAATGTGCGGTTTACGCCAAGGTGTGCCGAAAGTCGTGCGTCATGGAATTCGCCGAGAAGACGAATCCGTAGGATGCGATCTTGGGGCACAACTAACAAGTCCTTTCCTCTCGTGTGAAGGAGAAGGAACCCGTCGGAAATCCGATAATGGCTAGCCGACGGGTGATCCGATGAAAGCTCCGCGTAAAGCGTAGAGTAAGTCGGATCGGACTTGTAGCCTTGACGAAATGCGGCTGTAGATCGTCATCGAGGTCGAATGGCGTGGTCACCCTGGCACAAAAGTCGGGCCGTCGTGAGAGGGCGTCCGCAGCTCGATTGGCGGGACCGGGAATGTGGCACGGGTCAAAGTCGAACTGGTCGATGTAATACATCCATCGACCGATCGTGCTAGTGACCGTATCCTGCGTTTTATAAAAGGTCAACAGATTGTTGTCCGTATTCCATTTAAAATGCCGACAGCCGAGAAGAAAGTGCGCCACCGTTTGAGAACGGTGATGAACGCGAGTAGCTCTTTCTTCCTAGCGTCGTCGAGAGTGTTGACGAGAGGCACCTTTTGGGAGAAGTACTCGACCGGATGCCAACCGTCCTCGTGACACTGTTCCAACACCGCACCAATACCGTATCCCGAAGCGTCCGTAGTCACTTAGGTGGGAAGGGTGGGGTCGTATGTACGGAGGGCAGGTGCGGCTTGHATCGCTGCCTTCAACGAAGTGAACGCGCCACGGGCTGCGTCGTCGAACTCGAAGGGCATCTTTGAAGACTGAAGTCTCGACAAGGGGGCGGCCACTTTCGAGTACGACTCGACGAATCTCTGATAATATCCAGCCAAACCCATGAAAGAGCGTACATCCGTCGTGCAACGGGGTTCCGACCAATCCACGATGGCTTGGATCTTGTCCGCTAAGGGACGAATGCCTTTCGGCGTAACATAGTGACCCAAGTACTCAAGCTCCCGCTTGGCGAACTCGCACTTGTCGAGGTTCGCTTTGTACTTGGCCAGTTGCAAACGATCCAAAACAGCGCGAAGGTGTACGAAGTGCTCGTCCAACGTCCTACTATAAACCAAGATGTCATTGAGGTAGATGAGGACGCTGCGATCGAGTAAGTCGCGAAACTCAGTCGTCATAGCTGCTTGGAAAGTCGCGGGTGCATTGGTGAGGCCAAATGGCATGACAACCCACTCAAAATGCCCGTACCGCGTCTTGAACGCGGTTTTGTACCGATCTTGAGGCTGGATTTCAATCTGGTGGTAACCCGACTTCAAGTCCAACTTCGAGAAGTACGTCGTGCCGCCTAACCGCTCGAGGAGATCATCAATCCGAGGGAAAGGGTCGGCGTTCTTTACGGTTTGTGCTTTAAGTTTGCGATAGTCGATGCATAACTGTAGATCTTTGTTCTTCTTCCGGACGAAGAGAACAGGTGCATCGTATGGCGAGCAACTAGGGCGAATCCAGCCCTTGTCGAGAAGGTCATCGAGTTATGCGCGAAGCACTTCGAGTTCCTCTTCGCTCATGTGGTAGATACATCCACGCAGAGGGACGACGCCAAATTCGAGAGTGATCCCATGGCGTATGGGCCGATCTGGAACCGTTCCGGTGGGAGCCTCGAAGACGTCTCCATACTCGTCCAAGAGGTGAGAAATGCGTGGGTCCGGCGGTGACGCGGCTGGTCTGTCCGGCGAGGGGAGAGCATGCAAGAATACAAGGCCCATCTCCTCGACATCATTTCGAGCTATGGCGTCGCGAATTCTCGCAACGGAGACCACGTGACAAGCAATCGAAGTGTGAGGGGTCGCGACCGTACATGGGACTAACACTCCGTTCCGATCACAGACGTAAACGGTCCGGTCGTGGAAGTTCACCGGATGATCGGCGCTACGCAACCAAGACATGCCTATAATCCTGTCGAACTTGGTGTCGAGGATGTCAAAAGACACCGGCTCGCACGCAAGTGGCGCAAAGTATACCGGAACGTCATCGACGCATCTGTCAATTGACTTTTGCGTGCGGCCGGCCGCGAGTGTAACTTGCGTAGGTGGCGTCTTCCTTCGAACGCGCGGGCCAAGGCCTGCACGGGCCATAAAGGCTTGGCTCATAAAGTTGCGAGACGCTCCGCAATCAATCAAGGCACTACAGGTTGCCTTTACGATTTGAATGCGGATATAGAGCAAAGGAGCGTCGATTTCGGCGTACCTTTGGGTGGCATACTCGCAGTCAATCTTCGCAAGATAGGAGCGGAGATCGACAACCGCTACCCCGTGGTCCGTCAACGGAGCTGGTACTGTAGTGTGCAAATAGGAGCGTAGATTTGCCATTAAGGCGTTGCAATGCGGCCTTGGCAAGGTTCCGGTGGAGGGTAGAGGCATCCAAGCGAAGTCCTCTCTCGTGAGCGGGTCAAGCTCCTCAAGTCTTGACCACGCCGTCGAGTCCTCGGAAATCAGTGGCGAGCTGACCGGATCACTTGCCGACGGTTTACAGGCTGCGCATACGCAATCTAAGTGCACATGGCTCGACTGGTCTAATGGTGGTACCAGCTGGGCGGTATAATCCTCGTACGTAGCACGAGAATCAACGACTACCGCATGCTCCCCGGTAGTGACATCGATTGCTAGCAAAGCAACCGGTTCCGACGGAGTGAGGAGAGACGTCTCCTCTCTCCTTGCGTAACTCAGTTTCCCGAGTTAGCTGGACGGGGTACATGTGCCTTGCCCTTGTCCGGGCATTGTGCGGTAGTGTGGACAACACTATTGCACCATAGGCAATATCCGTACCGTTGACGTAAGTCAAATACTTCCTTGGTTATGTTGAACGCCGTCCATGGTTGCTGCCCAGTTCCCGTCGATGTCGTCGCTTGTGGCCTTGTTCTTCCGAACTCTCTTGGGACGCTTCGGCGGGAGCGCTGCGACAGTTCCTCCATCACTCGAGGATGCTGCTGCAGCGTGGAGATCGACTGTTTCTTCATAAATCATGGCATTGTTATGTGTCGGTCGTTGGTAGCCCTGCTTAGCCACATAATGCGGCTGGGACTGCTTCTCGTTAGCGGCCTTGTCATCCGTTTGGATGACCAGTTTCGCACGATCCAGAATAGCCTGGAACGAGGCATAATCGTACTCGTTGCCGAGTGCGGTCCGCAGTCCTGCGCACGATCGCGAGAAGAACTCAGATCGTTGGTTTGTAAAACTCAAATCGAAGCCTGGCGTGGTCACTATCTTCTGCCACTTGATCGTCCAGTCTCGAGTTGGCATGCTTCCCTTTGAGCAAGTGTAGACCTCGTTCATGGCCGCCTTCACGACGTTGCGGACCATGAAACGAGTGAACCACAACTGTTCAAAATCCTCCCACGTGAGGTGTTTGTGTAGCTCGGTGATAGTGGTTCCCTTGTTAACCGCGAGGTGTTTCATCCATGCCTGCGCACCTCCAATGAGTTGGAGGTATAGTGTCTTCATCATGTCTTCGTTTGGGACCTTGTGGCAAGATGCTTCGGTGAGGAAGGCTTGCCACCATGTCAAAGCGTCAGTCTTGTTGTAGTCCTCGAACTTGCCGATGTTGAAGCGTGGCATCTTGTATACCTTCGTAGCTGCTGCCGGTTGCGGCTTGGTGATGTTTGTCTTGATGGCGGCCACCGTGCTGCTGATCATAGCCGGACTGGTGAAGTCACTTAGGTCGCTGATTAGGTTGACGACATGGTCGATGCGCTCGCCGAGCTGCCTCGCCGTGTCTGGTGTGCAGCCTGGCGCTGCTTGGGAAGGCCTTGCCTCCAGAGTAGCAATGCGGGCGTCCATCTGTTTCAGCTGGGAGTCCGCGACCTTGATGGCTGCTGCAAGCGTCTTCACGTTATGGTTTAGATCGATCTGCAGCTGCGTTACTGACCTAGAATGAAGGTCTCCCATGGTGTTGTTCCAGATGACTGCACGCATCGTGCATAGTAAAATGTCTGCCAGGTTATGTCGCTCCTGCTGTACTGTCATCGGCTCGACGCCTGCTACGGGGACATAACGCATCTCGTTGAGCACAGCGGCCCACTGATCGTGTTGAGTGATCAGCAGGTCAGCACTGTCGGCGTTGAGCTTGCCGACCGCCAACTGTTCCGCCTCAGCTTGTTGCTGGGCTTTGGCTGCAGCTTCTGCTGCCAGCCGCTGTTTGTCTGCGTCGGCAGCATCCTGCCGTTCCTTGGCAAGCGTTAGTGCGGCCGTATAGGTCTCCACTCTCTGAATGTAGTCCGTGATGGACTCATTTGGCCCTTGAGCAGGACAGACCGGCAAGGGTTCGACATTGCTAGATGTCGAAGTCTCGGATGACGTTCCGCTGTGAGGCGTGATCGCCATCTGAGTGCTTGTCTGTGGCTGTTGTCGAACTGCAGGTTGCGGTTGCTGTTGGTGATCTGCGATCCTCTTGCTGCGTCGTGGCTGCTGTTCGGTGGCTTGCCCTGCTGGCATCAGAAAACTGTTGCTGAAGGCTGGCTCCCGAATGGTCGCAGAACAGTGAGAGGGAGAGGGTGGGTACAGGGGTAGAACAAATCAGGAAATTCGCATACAGTCCCTGTCCCAATGATGGACTTAGACACCTAATCAAACAGAAAAAGATAAACTTTCCCCGAAAACAACTCAAAAATTCTTAATAAGAAAATAATAACAAATTAATAATCAATAAAGTTTAATTAATGCTTAATAATGAATTAATACTTCTTGATAATTATCAATAAAACAATAATTGCAATAATGATAATTCCCGAATTTGAATTGTAAAGATTAGGTATCCGTTGAGATCATCTATTGTCCGAGAGTTCACCGTTGAATAGTGAACTACCCGGAAGTTGCGATTCTAGGGGCACAATTACGAACAGTTTGCCAAATTTTTTTTTCCGGAAATTTAGGAAGAAAAACACTCGAATTTTCGAAAAACGTAAAATTTTGGGAATTTCACCCTACAAAATCCGATTTTTAAAGGCCTAAGTCCGTTTTCGGAATTTTTCAAACTAGGGAAAGAAACGCGAAGCTGTACGTGGAGACTTGTCAGGTCTGTCAAAGAGACAAGCCACGTACTCAGGCTCCTCTTGGGCTCGTGAAGCCCCTTCCGATTCCGGAAAGGCCTGGTGAGAGCCTGTCCATGGACTTCATGGATACGCTGGTCACCAGCAAGAGTGGAATGCGCTACGTCTACGTTATTGTGGATAGGTTTAGTAAGTTTGCTAGATTAGTTGCAATGCCTGAGACAGCGAAGACTGAGCATGTAATTAAGCTGTTCAAAGAGAACTGGGTTAGAGATTTTGGATTGCCGAAGTCTATAGTCAGTGACCGTGATGTGCGATTCACAAGTGAATTGTGGAAAGTCGCAGCTACAGAACAGGGAACGCAGCTGCAGATGACATCAGGAAACCATCCCGAGGCKAATGGACAAGCAGAACAGTTGAACCGCGCTGTACAACACCTGCTGAGGCATTATATTAAGCCAAATCAGGTAGACTGGGATGAGAAACTTGCTCTCATTGCCAGCCTGTACAATAACGTGGTCCACAGCGCGATGGGCGTGAGCCCGAATAGTCTGCTATTAACTTTTAAGCCTAGATTGCCCTTGGATTTCCTACTGCCTGACAACCAGCCTTTCGCTGCACCAGGAACTTTAGAGTTTGCTTATTGATATGAACAGCTGATGCAGCAGGCTGTTGAGCACATCCACAAGGCGCAGGCGGCAATGATTGAGTCTGAGAACAAACACCGCTGTCCATCTACGTTTCAGGTAGGGGAAAGAGTCTGGGTTAAGTCCTCAGAACTGGGATAGGAGCACGGGATCTCCCGCAAGCTCATGCCACAATACTTTGGACCATGGGAAATCCTGGATGTCGTCGGGGATGAGCCAAACGGGCCTTCTTATGTTATTCGCATCCCGGGTCACTTACGCACCTACCTTGTTTTTCACGCTTCCAAGTTAGCACCTTTCGAAGAAACTGATCAGTTTCCCTCGCGTCGTTCAATGCTGCCCCCAACCATGGATGGAGAAGTGGACATTGATGATATTGTGGACCACATAGAGCTGCCAAGACCCACAGGCAGGGGACGTCCTCCGAAACCGAAGTTGCAGTATCGTGTTCAGTTCCGGCATCACACTGATCCGAAGGAGGACCGATGGTTCACCAGGAAGGAACTGTGTAACGCAATACGAGAGATCTCTGCAGAAGGGAAAGCGCCCTATGATCAAAGATTGAGCTTCTCAGAGGACTGTTGAAGCTAAGGAGGAGGGAATGCGAGACCACTGCCTCTAAGAGCCCCATAAGGCCCCACTTTTGCAGCCCGTCGGCCGCCCTAAGTGAAGGCAGGCTCGACGAGGCCCTCGGGGCCCTTTTCTGGCCACCACACAACTCAGGCAGTTGCGCAGCGCCAGTTGGTTAAGTGAACCCAGGCCCTGGGTCGCCTGTGTGAATGTATGTTAAGCAGGCCCTGGGCTGGATATGCGTACCGGGCCAGACACAAGCCGAAAGCAGTTGGGCACATGCAACCACTTCAGGCCCAAGGCCTGCTCTCCTCGTGCTGGGCCTCAGGCCACAGGGGCCTACTGGAAGCTTCCTGGACTGGACGCAGGCAGGCCACTTGGATATAGGAAAGGGCCTGCCTCCTCATTCGGGATTCAGGTGCTGGCTGCATGCTGCGCAAGCGCTGCTGATGCGCTATTTGCTGGCTGGCGCCTATGCTCTCACGGGCGAGCAGGGAAGGAGCACGCAGCCATAGCCGAGCTGCGCTGCTGTAAGCTGGGCGAGGCGCAGGGTGGTCCTTGGGTGCTAGTGGCATCTGTGAGTTGGGGAACGAGGTTGTGAGTGTAGCGCGAGACATACCTGGTGCTGGAAGCGTGCGACATTGGTCGCCATATGCTCGTACTTCGGGAATGTTGTTGACATCATCTTTCGGCTTCGTAGTATAGGCTAGATAGGATCTGCCACATGTAGTCTGGGCGCCGAGCGCCAGATAGGATATCAACTCTGGTTCTTCGTTGATGATGATGGGACTATTTCAGCATTGTCAATTATGAACTCTTGGTGTGTTCTTATTTGGTGAATCTCGTGATGCAATTCTGCTGTTGGTTCGAGGTCAAGACTATCTGGACTCATATGTATGATGCTGTTTGATTGCTGAAATTCGCTATTGCTCATCTTCCTTGCACAGAAAAAGTCAAGGAAAAAAGACTAAACACATCAATCTTGTTTATCGATTTTGAGAAAGCCTATGATCAAGTAAATTGGGCTTTCCTCAACGCAAGCATGGAAAAAATGGGTGTTGGACCCAGCTTCAGGAAATGGGTCAAAGTCCTCTATAACGATGCATCAAGATGTGTTCAGGTCAACAACCATTCTCAAGATCTGTGCGACAGGGGGACCCCCTTGCTCCTCCAATCTTTCTATTTGTAATGGAAGCTATTGCCTCCTGCTTACGCAAAGACCCCGCAATACAACGATTGTCGGAGATTAATGTCGGTACCCATCACCACATCCAATTCCCAACAGTCATAATGTTTGTTGATGACTTTACGGTCCTTATAAGAGCATCGGACTCCTTGGTGAAAGCGCTTGTCAGAGCAATGGAAGCCTTCAGGTTGGCATCTGAAATGAAAATCAATTGGAAAAAAAACAGTAGGCTGGTGGCTTGCAGAGGAAGAAACACCCAGGCTGGAAGGTCCCGAACTGGACATGACGTGGGAAAAAAAGGAAGAGCCGACAAGATACCTGGGGATTCTGGTAACCAAGGATGGCCCCGCGCCACAGATGGCCCAAAACCTGCTAACTAAGCAAATTAACAGAATGGGACGATGGGAGAACACATTTATGTCACTGTTAGGAAGGGCCCTAACCATCAACACATCTATTTTTTCTATTATGTGGTATATTGCCTCCATCTGGACTATGCCTGATCATACGACCAAAGAATTGAACCGCAGAGCTAGGGCATACCTCTGGTCAGGTGACCCTAACAAAACTAAATACATACCCAAGATAGCTTGGCATTATATAACAAGAAAGCCATCTAAGGGGGGTCTAGGAATCATCGACCCGAAGCAGGAAACGAAAGCCCTTCAGATTAAGTGGATCATCAAGCTGCTAACCCAACCCAGAGTGGCATGGCAAAGACCAGCACTAGACAGCATCAGAGCAATAGCTCCTATCGACAGTCCAACCAACATGTCAGGCCTCTTCTGGGTAATGAACAAGGAGTGGACCCCGAAGACTGGCGGCAGGAGGTGACCAGCAAATGCCTCACTGAACGAGTCGCGGCCCCCCACTCGTTATTGGACTGCTCTTATCCACATATGGAGGGAAATTATGCCCAAAAAGAACAAGAAGCCTAAATCTAAGGAAGTCTTAGGAAGAAGTGTTGCGCCAACCCCTGTTTGGGAACTCATAGGTGAGAGACGCAGGTAATCACTCACTCTCACTTTCAAGTGGCCAGCACTGGCTCTCATGGATCACGCACGGAGTATGGAGGGTCAGTCACATCTGGGATGAAGACAGAAAGGACTGGATCGATGAGGAAACGATGAAATCTCTACTGAAGGGCTGCCACCGCAGAGACCAAAACCTGCAGACAGTGATCAATAATAGTATCCCGGATGGATGGAAGGACTTACTCAAAGAGACCTTCTCTTGGAAGCCGGGTGAATGGGGAGTACTGACACAGGAGACGGTACCTGCAAGGGCATATCAATTCTCCCAGAGAGCCCCGGGATCAAACCTTTCGGGGGTGTTCACTTCATTCCTGATAGACCTAACCAAAATTCAATCTCCCTCCATTCACAACACAGATTCACAACACAGATTCACAACACAGATTCACAACACAGATTCACAACAGTCAGTCCTGAGCTCATTTATGCTTCGTAAGATAAGAGTATTAGGCAGTTGGCCTGAGGCAATATTCCAAATTGAATCAGCAATCCAAGAATTAGAGTTTGACCCAGCAGACTCTGCAGAACGCCCATTCATGTCACACAATACACAGTCAAAATGGGCTACAGAATGTTGCTAAAGACGAAAGACCCAGAGCCGTTTATTAAAGTCAGGTGGAACAGAATACTGGGCCAGGAAGCTGAACAATATCCAAAATACCTTGGCAGAAATATAAATCAATACGCCCGGTCAAAATAAGAAGCCTACAGTTGCTCATCGCCTACAACAGTTGGCTACACATCAAAAGGAGTAAAAATGACCCGAACAGTTCAGATCTCTGTGTAGTATGCTCAGACAGTGAACAGGAAAACATCACACTGCCTGATCACATGCAAGGAAGCTACTGACTACTGGGCAAGAGCATCCGCTCTCTGGAACTACCTGTTTTCTTCTCCTTTTCCCGAGCACCCAACCCAACTACTCCTATGAACCAACATTCCGACTAACTTTAACACGTCGGAGAGCATCTGGTATGGCATGATTCGAAAGGTGACACTCTGGGTCATATGGAAGGAAAGATGCAGCAGAACTTTGGACAACTCCAGCAATCCACGTGAGAAGGTTTGGGCATCAACCAAATCCTTAATGGAGACTAAAGT